TAAAAATTAATGGCACTAAAAATTTTACAACTTTATAGAAATAATCATTATCATCTTTTTGGTTAGAACAAGTTATAAATATCCTTAAACTTTTGAGAAATAGCCTAGAATCATCCCTCTATTTAACTAACACTATAGCACCGTCAATACATTTGTTAAAAATTTGAAATCCTTCGAATTTTAATGGTGAAATAACATTATTGGTTCCTCACCTTTTAGTTCTTATTCGATTTGATCCTTAAACTTCAAATTTATTTAATTTGATCCCTGTTTTAAATTTCTTATTGCATTTTAATCCTAAACTTTTGAAAGAGTTTCACTTAATTTCTAAAATTTCTAATTTCATTCATTCTAGTCTTTTGTATAAATAATAAAAAATGTAAAATCCAATAAAATCACTTTCAATTTATCTAAAATATTATAAAATTAATACTAAAAGAGTAAACTAAAATATATAAAATTCATTTATTTAAAATGAAAAATAACATCTTTAATGTCTAATTTAATGTCCTTAAAAAAAAGAAAAAGGCATTTAGCTAGTCATACATACATAACTCACATAAGAGAAAAAAGAAAGAAACAACATTATGAAAAAAAAAAAAAAGGATAAATAAGATATGATTGCCATCTTTTTCTTGTTATACACTCATAATCATAAAAACAATTACCCAAAATTATCATTAGTCCATGATGTTTACACAAATACATTTACACCATACCCATAAATTGTATCTGCATCCTCTACAACTTCATCATTTCAGTTGTAACACTTCATAGAATTTCAAATTAGGTATCAAAAATATTTTTAGGACAAGTGGGTATCAAAATTTTGATTTTACACTATAATGATATGAGTTTTATATATGCAAAAAGTGTTATGCAATTCAAACTATATTAAACTGTATCCAATTACACAACACTAATCATTATATAGGGGTTAGACCCCATGATATTTTAATTTATTATTTCATGATCTATGTTTTACAATTTGAATCGTAAAACATGGTTTCCTTCATATATTTTAATTTATTATTTCAAATTTAATTTTATTAAAATTTGGATGAGTTAAATACTTAAATGTGATTTTGTTGAAACACCTGTCATGTTGGGTCAAGTAGGTCTTACCATCTTTATAAAGTGCAGTTTTCCCATCCCCTTGGCGTTAAATTCAAGCCCCCATGATGTGATTTTGTTGAAAGTCATATGATTTTTATTGTTGGTAAAAAAGAACTAAAATGCAAATTTTGATATATAAGTTATCTCTTTCAAAATTTTAGGAACTAAATTGTAACTAAAAAAAGTTAAAATTCGGGACCAAATTGAATAAATATGAAGCTTAAGGATCAAATTGCACAAGAATGGAAAGTTAAGGGACAAACTGATGCTATTTTACCAGTAAAATTTGAAGAATTTAAACGTGCATTGACGGCGTTATGACGAGAGATGATGCTTGTCCCTTTCTACTAAGTTCAGGGATATATATGACTTATTTTAAAATAGAAGGATGATCATGACTCTTTTTTGTAAAGTTGAGGGAATTTTAGTCTCATTAAGTCAAAAGATAATTATTTTTAAAAATAAAATAAAAATAAATAAATCTCAATCATTTATAAAAAAGATACGAATTATAAGAATTTCGTATATAAAAATTATATGCAAGTAAATCGTTAACTTTTTATTTATATATGTAATATATATATAACTACATAAAATGTAAGTGATTTATTTATAATATTATTTTTTAATAAAATAAATATATAAAATTTAAACCACATTAAATATTGATGAAATAAATTGAATTGAAGTAGGGAAGAATATCGTTAACT